CATGAGGTGTGAGATGACTTAAATGCTAAGACTCTGGCAATCAATCTGCCTAGGCTTGTATCTCAGCCCTGCTACCTACCAGCTGTGTACCTTGGGCCAGTCGTTGACCTCTCTGAACTTCATCCATATAATCCATATAATGGGAATGATGGAAGTTAGGTAAGACAACATGTGTTGTGCACTGGGAACAGGACCTGCCAGACAGAACGCTCTGGAAAACTGTTAGCTATTTATGGGAGTATTAGAATCCACAGCTCTAATATCTCAAGCCTGGAGAGGTGGCACCAGGTCCTGAATGGGTGGGAAAAGATCTTAGAGCCCCAGCAGAGGGGATCCTGGGAGTGGGATGGGAGGGCAGCTTTGAAAGCTTGGAGCAAGGCCAGCTAGGCCTCTCAAAACAATCAACCCCTGCCTAAAATTCCACTATTTGCATTTTGCAGGGTTTGATGCCCTCCCCAGGATCCTCATTAAAAAGCAAATTGCCCACCCCTGGCAGTTCAGAAGGCTCCAACAGCATGGTAACACCAAGCTCCTCAGATGTTTCCTTCCAAGTGAAGAACAGCCTGGGGAGAACCTTGCGTACAGTGAAACCATTTCCAGAGACTCAGTTGTACCAGAGCTACCAGCCTCTCCACGAGCCTCCTGATTTGTTGACTCTAACAACTGGCCCTGCAGAGGCTGACCTGACTGGTTTGGAGGTGGCAGGTGAGGGGGTGGCAGCTGCCAAATGAGAAAGGGCCTGACCTGCCAGGCAGCTCCACCCGGCCTCAAATCCAGCTTGGCAGCACCAGCCGCAACAGGCCAGCCCCGCCCATGAAGCAATGGGCACTGTCCCCGCCCCCCCACCCCCAGGCAGGGTGAGGCATCCAGATTACTGGGCTCTGGGTCCTCTGCCACCCCACCCCCAGCTCTGCATCTGACTCACATTCTACCTTCCTCTTGGCATTACGGTTAGAGAGAGCCCCTCTGTCTCCTGCTCAGAGAGCAGGCAGGGGGCAGAAATGGCCTCATGGATGGGCATTTCCTTTCTCCCTAGACCTTCCCCATGAGTTCTGTCTGGGTGCAGTGGATTCCTTTGTGAATTCCCAGACCTTAGCACAGAAGAAACAGCATTTCTCTGTGGCTTACCTCTGAGATGCAGTCAGAAAACCCCTCTCCCATGGAGACAGGGAAACCCAGGAAAAGTTCAGCTCTCAGTGGCTCCTTCCAAAGCTCAGTGAGCCAGAGCATGGCTATTTTAATAGGCATTTATGAGCCCCTGTGCGAGGCCCTGGCTCAGGTGGTACGAGAGAATTTTAGGGGTCAAAGAAGGTTCCATTTCCCCAAAGTCAGGGACTCTGGACAGCTTCTTGGAAGAGGTGGCATTGGGGCTGAGTCATGACAGACAGGAAGGGATTCTGCAGTGCTGCAGAAGGAAAGACATCACCTAGGGTAAGAAAGACAGGTGGGCTAGACTGCAGAGGCCTCGAATATGACACTTAGAGGCTCAGAATGTTTATGGTCAAGTCCTCAAATCCCTATGTGATCTCAGGCAAGATCTCTTCCTGCTCTCCAGAACTTAGTTTCCCATCTGTCAGAAGAAATGTGCCCTCTTGTGCTTTGGGTCACCACTGAGATCCCACACACAGAGCAGCCTGGCTCACAGCAGCCATCTGGCACCAAGGGGAAGGGCATTGTCCTGGGCAAGGCAGCCCCAGTAACCTTCCCAGATCCTGGGGATCAGAAGGAAGATGTTCACTGCAGAGACTTGACTCAGAGGACTCTGCAGGGGTCTCCTGGGCATGTGGATCCCCCCACCCCCACTACTCCACTGGCCTTAAAGAAGGGAAGAGGAGGGCAATAGGAGCTCAGAGAGGCTTCCAACATGCTCCAGTGGTCAGAGGGGAAGGGCCCCCAGCCCCACAGTCCAGAGTATAGGGGCGGGAAAGAAGACCCCATGTGTAGACCCCTATGTCTCCTCAAGGTTTCATATTGCTTTTATTTAGAGGTCCTAAGTGCCATGGTCACTTCTGCCTGCCAGGAGCCTGACAACCACAAGTGGTCTGGGCAGGAAGTCAGGAGGGGAGGGAATCCTGGCCTCTTCTGCACCACACACCCCCATCAAGCCATGTGACTTCTGACCAACTTCTGGGTCCCAATTTTCACATAGGTGACAAAGTTTGAGGGGCTGTGTCTTGGATCTGGTGGGATGACTGACAGCTGACAAATCTGCAGGCCGTGCCCAGTTAGAGGTAAAGAGGAGGAGTACCAACGAACCAGACAGGCCTGGGAAGGGCACAAGCAAGAGGTCGGCAGGAGCAGAACTGTACCCTCTCTGAGAAAGGCAACCCTCCAGTCCCTGCCGCAGGGCAGACAAGTGCTTGGCATGGAGTGGAGAGTAGAATGGCTGTAGCAGCAGCGGAAGTTGGCCTTGGAAGGGAGCCACTGAGTGTGGGCAAGGCTAAGATGGAGCAAGCCTGTGGCCAGGGCCTGAGGGAAAGGGGAAGAGGCCCAGCTCCCTGGGAGGGAGAGGCCTGCTCCTCTTAGGGCCTCCACAGAATAGCAACAGCTACAAGGACAGTGACCACAGCTCTTCCTGTTTGATAAGGCTGCTTCAGCCCAGGCTTCCTACTAAGCACTATCTGCCATCTCAGGCATAACAGCCAAGAGGATAGGCATGGAAAGAGATGGGCAGAGATGGCTTGAACAAGTTCAGACTACAAGACAGTAGCAAGACCTGGGGTATAGCCCTGCGGATGCAGAAAGACTCAGAGCCCATGACCTTTACCAAGGCTGAGCTAAGCCAGCTGGGGAGAGAGCTGGGACCCATTTACGAGCAGCTGAGCTCCCTGGGTCCAGGCCTGCTCATGTGCTGGGGTCTCTAGGTCCTGGCCCTCCTGGGCAGAGGGAAGAAGCTATAAGTGGGGAGATGCTACTTCCCTCCTCATGGTCACAGCTACCACTCACAGTACCGGTAAAATGACTGTGCAGAGTTGTGCTAGCCCAATCTTGGGAGATAGTGAGGGTCTGTCTAGCTGGGTATGGACTCTAGGCTTGGTCACTGGGGAAACCCCCAAAACAGGAAGGTGTTGGTGCAGGGGGGGGCACATCTAATCCAGGTCCCCCTTGAAGGCCAATTTAGGGCCAGTCTTGAAGGTGCCAAGCCAGTAGCCCCAGCCATGCTCACCCATAAAGTCAAAAGGAGTACAGAGGGGAACCCATTCCAGGCCTGCCATAGTTCCCAGTCCAGAACGGGGAGAACACTGAGGCCCCAGCTTCAAATGGAGGTGCTGTGGAAGTTCTTGCAGTCAGAAGTTACCCAAGTTATTTATCAGACACAGAACCTGTGGGGAGAGGGTCTAAGCCCAGCCCTGTTTAAAGCTGGCATTCTCTGGGCCCACAAACTCTGGCCTCCTACCCCATTCCAGTGTCTGGACACCACAGGGGCTGGCCAGAGCTCAGTCCTGGCTCACAGGGCCAAAGCCTTCATATTGAGAAGTAGTTTTCTGGCCTCAATCAGCCCCTCACCTACCCAGCCTGCCCTTAACCCTAGCACAGGTAGAAGGGCTAATTGGTGCTGAGGGAGAGCATAAACACTCTCACTCCTCATCCCCTTACCCCCGTCTGCACTCAGAACAGCCACCTTTTCCCTGAAGGACTCAGAGAATCCCATGCCTAGGATTCCAAAAAGTTCCCCCCACCCCATTCCACTGCTGGGTTAGAGGATCCAGCCCTACCAGCCCAGCCCTGATTCTCCCCAAGACCCAACCTCACGATCTCCCCTAAGTCCACCCTGGGGAGACAACCTCCTCCATTGGTCCTAGTGCATCTGGGAAAGACATAGGGAGCTAGGCCCAGGTCCCTGCTCAGTACTTGAAGATCCTGTGCCCTAAATAAGTCCTATATCCTTTTCAAGCCTGTACCAGGTCCTGTGTCAAGCACTCTACATGCATAATCTTGTTTCAAGCTCACAAAAACCCCTTTTCTTTCCCCATGAACACAGGCAGAAACCTGACTTCAAGAGTCTAGGATACTGTCCAAGGTCACAGAGCTGGCAAACACACACAGAAGTCCCTGGAGCCATATCTGTAGGACTCTGCACTCAGACTCATAATCACAACTTCTGTAAAATAGGAAGATCCTTTCCTGTACTTCTAACCTCCAGGAGCCAGTCTCTCTGCCATGCTCTACCCATTCAGGTGGCCACTGGCACAAGCTGCAGATGATTAAAGTTCCCAGCGATGACAGATTCAAGGGATTCTGGGTAAGGGGTGGGGCCCTGGGTCCAGAACTGTATGCCCTAAGCCAAAACTGGGTGGCTAGATCAGCCAGCTCAGAACCCCTACCCACCCACCCCATTCCACCTGTATCAGTGGGCCAGGCCTCCAGGGATCCTACAGTGTGATGTGGCTAGATGGCTGGCCCACCCTCTGCCTGGGAACTACAGTGGGTCAGGCTTGGAGCAGGGTCTGTCCCTTTCAACAGTGTCTCATCAAGAGCCCATCAGCAGCCTCCTACCCACAGGTGCAATAGGCAGCAGCGTTGCCCACCAGCCAGTCCTGGGAGGCTCACACCACTCCAGCCCAGGTAAGCAGGGGCCATAGGGAGGAAGTAGGCCCACCCCAAGACTTGGTGGGGCTGAGCTTCAGGCAGAGGGAAACTAGAGGAGCTTCTCACAGAAGGCGCAGCCAAGCTGAGCAAGAGCCCCCCTTGAGCCTGAACACATAGGTGCGGCCAGAACTCCAGAGTCAGGAGCCACTCCTTCCCTGCTTCCGGGTACAACAGCCCTACCCATACTCACTCCACCCCTTGCTCACTGGGACACCCTGAGCTTAGCTAGGCTAAGCCTCAGTTTCCCCATCTGTAAAACAGGGAGGACCACCAGCCTGACTTTAGAAGACTAAACATGAGGCTGTGTATAGGAAGCTTATCAGGGGCCCGGGACACAGTGGACTGCACCCACAGGTTTCTGCTTTTGGACTCTCTAGCTGACCCCAGGCCACAGTGAAGGGGTCACAGACCTTCAGGGCACATTTCTGCCCAGTGCGCCGATGGAAGCACTCCAGCACCTTGCCGTTCACACCCAGGCCCAGCACCTGCTTGGACAACTGGTAGTCATCGGTCACCGCGTACTTCTTCGGCTCCCGCCGCCCCCCGCAAGCCAGAGCACCGCTAAAGCCAGGTCCGCCATGTGCAACTGGAGGGGGCGCAGGACTCCCCTGCTCCTCTGCTGTTTCGCTGTCCATGGCCCCCGCGGGGGGCTTAGAGGCGGCCCCAGCCTGGCGCGTCCAGGAGCACCTGGGGGAAAGGGGAAAAGTGAGTCCTGCCTAGACTTTTCCAACACACCCCAGCCTTGAAGCCCCTGAGCCCGGCCGGGCTGTGGGCCTGGCCCGGGACAAGTTGGGAATGTGGGGCGAACGGCCGGAGTACAGACTTGCAGCAGGGGTTGGTAGTCGCGCAGCCGGGCACGTGTCAAGAAGGGAAGTGGCCAGGCGCCTAGTGGCAGCGAAGTCCCTGGAGCAGGCCGCAGAAGGGGCTTCAGGAAGGCGTACCTGGGTAGGGCGTACCTGGAGGCAGTGCACCTGGCAGAGGCGCTGGCGAGGGGCAGGGGCCGCGGTCCCGGGAGCTGGAGGCCGCAGAGTGCCCTGGGCCGACAGTCGTGCAGTCGGCGCCCACGTGACCCCCCACCCCACCCCGCCCCGCGCGTCATCCTAACTTGGGGCCCCGCTAGGTCAGCCTTAAAGGGCCAGGCGGGCCCCAGCTGGGCCGAGCGGGAACCCCTAATGGGCCCCGCCCCCAAGCCGGGACAAAGTAGGAGGCGTGGCTTCCTGAGTCGGTGTTTTCTCCGCACGCAGCCAGGCGGCGCTGCAGTGTGGCTTGCTAGGCTTCCGATCTCCCTAGTGGTGACCAACCGCCAGCGTACCCAACTTCTTAATTCTTGCCAACATGCTGAAGGAAGTAGCATCCCGTTGTTGTTTGATTCGCGACTCCCTAGTCCCTGGTGCTTCTGGGCGTCTCGCTGGCACTGGCTACTCTTCCCCTTACGTGCATCTCCCGTTCATATCCTTGGCTCATTTTTTCCCCTTGGTATATACAGGGCCCTTGGGCCAGAAATTCCCAGTTTCCATTTGGCCAGATCCACCAACTTTTCACCGTATACTTTGGGCTTTCAGTGTCCTCTTTAAAAATCTCTGCCTCCCACCCCAGTGACAGATATTCTCTATTAGCTTTGTAGTTTTCCTATCCACATTTAGGTCTCTACTTCATTCTGAGCCCATCTTACATATTTTGAGCCAGTTTCCCCAGGCTGTTAACTCTCATTTCATAGATGAGGAAACTGAGGCCCCAGAGAGGAAACAGCTTGTCTAGAGCCACAGAGAGCGTGGCTGTGGCTGTCTCCTGGGACAAATCTACAGTACTCCCGCGCATCACCTCTCCCTCCAACCAGGAAACTGAAGAATCCGAGCGAGGTGGCTTGGGCTGGGAAGGTGCTGCTTGGGGCAGGGTCTCTGCGTGTGCCTCTTCTGCCATCTACAGGCCATCTCTAGGAATGCAGGCTCTGTGACTTGAGTCCCACCCAAAGGCGTTTCAAGCTGTCCTACGCTTGGCTTCCAAATTGGGGCCCCGTGAACGTATTCCGCTAACTCCCTGCCCACCCTCCAACACATACACATTCTCCCTCTCTCTCTCTTTCTCTCTCTCTCTCTCTCTCTCTCTCTCTCTCTCTCTCTCTCTCTCTCCTCCCCGGCTCTCATGGACGCCAGCACTGAAAGTCCAGGCTTGTCAGAGCTATTGCTCTTGGAGAGCGGGAACTTGTGCCCTCCTCTCTATGCAGCTGGCTCCCCACACCCACCCCTTACCTGATGACCGTTCTGCGAGTGAATGAGTAACTGAGCGAGTGAAGGGGTGCTACAACTATTGGTGGGTACACCCTATGTGCAGATGTTGAGTGAGGAAAGGGGTTTGGAGCTCTGTCCTGACAACCCAAAATAAGTGCTGAGGTAAAGTTCTCAATCAATGGAGGTTTATTAAACCAAAGTTGAGGACACGCCCAGGAAAAACAAACCACAGACAAATCTGTGACTGGTTTTCCAAAGCAAGATTTGGGAACTCAGTTTTTAAAGGGGATAGAACATATTGGGGGGGGAAGAGGAGGATGGACAGGAGACAAATGGTTACATTCTTATGAGGCCCAGGATATCTGTATTTTACATAAGATAAGGTGACTGTTAGAAAAGAAAAAGGGAGTGAAGGAAGCATCAGTTATGTAGATGTCCCTGAATAGGAGGAAGAATGTTTGCTCTCCTCCTGTTTCTGTTCTGCACCTAGGAAGATAAACTTGTAATCAACACTACTAGTGTGGAATTGCACAGACTAGTTTTAGGAGCTAGACTTAGCCAAAGTTACAGTTTGCACGTCCTTGTTTATGGGAGGCCAGCAAGGAATTTCCTTATGAATAATTTGTGGGGACAGTCCTTATAGATGCCTGAGGCCTTTTCCCTTTCCATGGAGATCTGACTGATGCATAATGTTAGTAAAAGCTATTTATTTGGAAAGGGGTATTGCATGATTCGGCCTCCAGGCTTGACGTTTCCTTTTGCATAAGGAGTTAGGGGAGGAGTGTCGGTCCTGAGATTTTTATACTCCTTTACAGCCCCTGTCTCTTCCAGGTGACCTTTAAGCTAGCAGTGTTCACTGAAGCAGGGGGACCCAGAAGATAGTCTCCGCTGACCATACTGAACACTGTATGCAATCTTGTCTCTTGCAGTCCAGATGCTGTGCAGGTGCTCTAGTTGGGTGCCACATGACCTCAGGGAAACTGGAGGAGGGAGGGCGTACCCATTCCTTTGGGCACACACTACAGACACACAGGACAGACAAGCCCAGAGATGTTAAGCAACCTGCCTGAAGTCAGCAGCTATCATAACAAAGCCCCCATTCCAACCTCAAAGCACAACCTCTGGGCTAGATTCTTATCCTCAAACCACGGCCTCCGCTCCTGGCCCTCCCTGCCTCCTCACACACGTCCACATGTGCAAATATACTCTCACCCATGCACACATGCACGCACGCATTTATATATGTGCACACACAGAGACATGCTTACATGTGGCTGTTGGGAGGTCTGGAGCCGAGAGGGAGATACTCAAAGCCTCATGTATAGCAAAATGCTATTTATTTTCAGCATCTGAGTGCAGAAGCGTGGAGGCCTAAAGAGCGTCCACCATGAGGGAGGGGAAAGCCTTGAGTTTTATAGACGGTTTTTCCAGGGGAAGTGAGCAACTGGACCAGAACAGCCACTATAATAAATTCTTTTGAAACAACCAATTTTTGGGACCCCTGCTTCAGTCTCATCCTGCAGAGATGGGGGGGTAGCTTCATCCTTATCAGGGTGGACAGGAATGCCAGCGTTGCTGCAACTGTCTGTGGTCAGAGTTAGATTTACAACCTCCGGACTCTCCAGACTCCTGTGGCTATTTTCCCAGGCTTTATGATCACTATTCCATCGTATACATACTTTTTGTGTTCCCACCCGGAACAAACCTAACAGATCTGTATGTGCATAAACCCACATGCACACAACACACCCATGCACATAGATACGTATGCACATGTGCACATACATATTCACACACATTTATGCCCAGCTGGACCCAGGGTCAATGTCCTTGAGCCCCACCTCAGAGCCCAGCAATTTGGAAGTTTCTACTGCTAGGCAGATAGTGAGGGATTCTGGGTCTCCTAGGGATGAAAGTGGGTGATGTTACCCCCATCTTGGTCCTGCACGACCCTAATTCTCCGTACCGGGGGGAGGAGGGAATACCCTATGAATCTGCCAATCAGAACTTGGTGCGCTAGCTGCAAAAGAATGCAGAGGACTCTCTAGTCCACAGGCCAAGCCCATGGGTACCATAAAGTCTGGAAAGTACCTAAAGCCCACATACATAGTTAAGCCTCAGGTCATGGGACTCCCAACTGTCTAATCAAAGTGGTTCCATGGTGACCTCTGAACCACAAGGGAGGTCCCTCTCTGGACACTATGGAATAGGACGCAGACCATAGCCGGTCTCTCTCTCTTTGCCCTTCCTTTTGCTTGCCCTGCTGTGACAATGGTTGTCACCTGTGGCATATGTACCATGCTCTGTAAATCTGTCTTGCTCTTGCCCTATAATCCTATCTTTCTCTCTTCAATAAATCTCATTTTCATGCTTGCCTAACTGTGACGTGTCTGGTCATTCTTTGACCATGGGCGCGCCAAGAACAGAAAGCTTCAGACTGAAACCTAATGCTACGGCTGGCAGTCTGGAGAAGGCTCTGACCTCTGAAGGCAACTGGTTTAGGCCCAGTGAACCTGAGGCTGAGCAAGGTCTCATTCTGGATGAGCAGAAGCTTAGGCAGATGAGGGTGGAGGCTGGCTCTTGTCCCAGCCAAGGTCATCTCAGTGCAGGCTCTGTGAAGATGTCTTTTTCTTAAAAATGGAGTTAGATTACAATTATTCTAAAAATTTTATAATTGCATTCTTAAGCTGGTCTCTTTTATTACAATTTCTAATCACATAAGTAAAACTTGCTAATTGTAATTAACTCAAACCATACAGAAATGTAAAAAATAAGCAATGGCACTGCCCTCCCCTCCCAGTCCCCATAACCAATGCCCACGCTTCTATAGGCACACACATTCCTCACATGGCTCCCCGAGAGGCAGATGCTTTGCAATTGCTCACTTAACCCCAGCACAGTCAGAATATGTGATTTCCCCTCAATGCTCATGTTCCAGCAACTACCTGCCACATCCACCTTCACAATGATGGGAGGATTCAGTATGTGGGATGGCTGGGCCTGGACAGGAGTGGGTTCGTGGTGGCAGACTCTGCCACACAGCCATCCACAATAGCTATGTGTCTAAGGGAACAGAGACTGAGGCTTTTGGAATAGCTTACAGTGACCAAGGGGTCCAGTAAGTAAGTGCCTGAGTGAGGGGGGCTGAATCCCCTCACGAACACACACATGTGGACTGTCCTTTGGGGACAGGACAGGGGAGGCTGTACATAGGGAGAGGATGGAGACCAAATGAGCCTGACTTTGAGGAAGGCACTGCTGTGTATTCTTGTGACCCATCTTATGATTGTTCTGGGTGGGGAGGGGCGGGGGGATTCTGCAGTAAGGCCTATCCCCAGCTGCAGAGGAGGGATCATCCTGGAAGGGACAATCTTTGGAGATTTGGCTCATGAGGCTATGAGAGGGAGCACCACTGGGTGGCAATGTAGGCTCAGCAGTCAGACCCAGGGCTTGTGGGGAGAAGCCAGGGCAGAATTAAGGAACAAGGAGTTGGCCAGAGAGATCCATAAGCCTGAGGCCAGCGGGCACCTGGGGCAGAACAGGGACACATCACTGTTTCCTGCATGCAGGCCAGGTGCGCAGTGCAGTTAAATTCACAAAAAATAGTTGGAGGGCCAAAACCCTTGGGACCCTTTGGTTTACACAGACTGACCACTGTAGACAATGCTTTCAAGGGAACACCTGTGGTGCTCTGACACTGACTGGCCTGAGGACAGGGAAACTTCACTGAGGACCTTTAAGCCAGATCCTGAAGGATGCCTAGGAGTTGGCAGATGACCGGCACCTAGAGAAGAAGTGTGTAGAAGGGTGTAAGGCCTTGACTCCAACCCACTACTTGCCAGCTATGAGACCTAAGATACACTATAATCTCTCTGTGCCTCAGTTTCCTTAACTGTGGTAGTCGTGACAATGAAATGAAGCTGGAAATTGCTGATAGCGTCTGGCACATAGTAAGTGTTCAGTAGAACAGTCATGGCTAGAGAGAAGGAGTATAGTCTTGGGATAGAAAGCTTGGGATTTAGTCCCAGAAAGACACAGTTTCAAAATTGTGGCTTGGTTGCATGGCTGCTGCAAAGCCCCTTTGTCTTCATAGTACTGGGACAGTGGACAGTTCCTACTAGATAACACCCCACGGCTCCAGGCACCTGGCTCTCAAAGCAGGTTATGAAGTATTCATTGCATCCCACCCCATCACAAGAAACTGGCTTCTGGTCAAGTCAGGAGGGAGCTGCAGTGCTACACTGAAGACTGGCTTCCCCTCAGGAAGGGTACAGACAAGTGGGTCCCCTGAAGTCATTTCTCAGCTTAACCATTTTACAACCAGTTTCACAGCGTTTTGCTTTCAGGTCTCCTTTGTTCTCTGCCATCCTGAGCAGGGCAAGCTGAGCCCAGTCTGCCCTGGGGAAAGCCTGGACCCTATCATTCAGGCCCTTAAACACTGCCAGGGGTCTGTCACCTCTGCCCTAGATCTCAAAGCTTGCCTCCTTTCCTGGGAACCCGGGGGGCACATACTGGGCAGTGGGGGGTAGGGAGTGGACCCTGCCCCCTCTCCAAATCCCACTTCCCTCCCCTCCTCTCCCCCCATTCTTCTAGCCCAAGGATTTGGAGGAGGTTTGCCCAAACCCTATGGTCCTTCCACATGCTCCTGGTGAGTCCAGTGAACGGAAAAATGGTGGAGGGGGTCAGGGTAGGAGTGTGGGCTTCTGACTCAGAACTGGGATCAAGTTCCAGCCCTGCTATTTCCTAAAAGACATTTTGTTCCCTGGGGCCGTGTCTTGTGTTCTGCATAATGGGGGCAATACTAGTTGTCGAAAATCAAATGTAGCAAGTACTCCCTGTAGACGGGAGCAGGTGTCACCGTTCCACGCCCCTCCACCCCAGATTTTCTCTGGGTGTTTAGAGCTTCAGGTCTCTCAGCCTTTTCAGGGGCTGACTCTCCCTGCCTGCCCCTCAAATCTGTAGTGACTTCTTCCCTGATTGGCGGGGGCCAGCAGGAGGTCAGTACCTGCCAAGACTGGATGCTCTTGCCTGATGTAAAAGGGGTTCGATGTGCCTTCTCCCCCAACTCTTTCAAAGAAAACGTTCTTGCCTGGATTCTTTTGGCTGTGGTGGCCGCAGGCTTGACCTCAGTGGACCTGCTCATTTCTCGGGCCGCCCTCTGCACCCTGCCCCTACCCCTATGTCCCTCTCCGGACCCCACCCCACGCCACCCACCTCCCCCTAACCCCACATACAGAGTCCCAGGGTCCAGGCGCTGCCCAACAGGGGGAGCTTGCACACTCCGACGGACCGCCTTGGAGGCGAGGCTAGAAGGGAGCACAGGCCTGGGACCTCGCCACCGCGCTGCCACAGGTTAGACAGTGAGATAAGAGGGCCCTTCCCCAACGAAGCAGACCGCCAGGAAGCAATCTGGGCTCGGGTTGCCAGAGCCGGATCCCTCCTTAACCTCCCCCAACCCGGTCTTTCCCTGCCGGTCTCTCGGTCCCGCCCCGCCGGGTCACGTCAGCCCGAAGCCCACGGACTGCAATTGGCCCGGCCTGGCCACTCGGCTCCACCTCTGCGCTATGATTGGTCAGCTCGTGTGGCCCCGCCCCGTTTTCCTGGAAAGTTCTTGGAAATCTGTCAAAGGTGTTTCCTTTCACAGCCCCAGGACCCAGACACCGCCGCCGGCGCCCGAGCACCCGTCCCGGGCCCCACGGCACAGCCTGCGGTTCTAGGAAGACGCCGCTTCCGGGAAGGGCTGGGTCGCGGCGGACAAAGGATTAGGCGACAGCTCGCCCCGCCCTGTTCCCCTGGCCCGCCCCCCTCGCCCTCCCTTGCGGTCGGCGCCGCAGCCTCTCAGTCCCTGCCCGCCGCCGGTGCGCCCCGGGAGCTTGCCCAGCGCGCGCGCGCGCTCCGAGCCCGCTGACTCCTTGCCGCCGCCGCCGCCGCGGCTCAGCCGAGTCCCCACTCTCGAGCAGCCGCCGCCGTCGCCGCCGCGGGGACATGGTCCTCTGCGTTCAGGGGTAAGTGCGGCTCTCCGCCCCCGCCCAGCCTCTGCGCCGGGCGCACGGGAAAGCATGGGCCTCGTGCTAGCTTCCGGGCCCTGGGAGGTCTTGGCGGGCCAGAGGTGACCGAGCGTGTAAGGACTTTTGGAGTGCGGCGCTGTATGGGGCTGTGACACCCCCCTCCCCTCTCATCTCAACTCACACTGTGGGTAGGGAAACTGGGGGCTGGCCGGCTATGGGAGGAACACAGGGTGGACTCAGCTAGGTTCTCACTGGAGCAGGTGGACGCTGACGGCAGGGCGTCCTCCGAGATGTGGCTCACCAGCTCAGACCTCCTTCTGGGACTCGAGCGCTGTACCCTAGCCTGCTGGCTGCCCTGCCAACGGATGACCTTGGGCCAATCCCTGCCCCTCTTCTGTGTCCACTCTTCTGCCTCAGCTACCAATTAAGCTCTTCTTTGGAAGCCCCCCTGAGATTCTTGCCTCTCCCCAGGTTGGCACCTGATAACCAGAAGCTCTTGGGAGAGTCTGGGTTTGGCCTGGTCCTGCCTAGGGTAGCCCCACAATCGGCTCACCCCTCCTCTTAGCCCCATCTGGGATCCCAGTGTGAGAAGGACCGTGGCTCCTGCCTTTCATCTCCAAGTTTCCCAAAGACGTGGGGTGGGGGCCAGTAGAGGGGGGATGCTGGAAAGACAGAGTCTTGGCCCCAGCCGAGCATTCTTGGCACATCCACTCTGCCCTGAGCCTCAGTAACCTCTTCGACCAAAAAGGGTCTGATGCTTTCTACACTGATCTGACAGGAACTCAGGAAGCTCCAAGGAGAGAGGGAGGAGGTATAAATGGGCGTTCCACACCCAGGGAGAACTGGGTGGCCCAGTGGCTGCTGTTACCAGAACTGGCATGGTGCCAAGCGAAGAAGGATAGAAGCTGGGGGCAAGCTGAAGTACCCCTTGCTTTGAGCAGTCCCTGCTTGGTCCAAGAGGACATGGTAGTCCTGGGAAGGGTGTTACTCCCTGGTTGTCTCCAGCATGTTCCTTTCTGAATTTTGGGACTCCTGAACACCTGCCCCTACCACTATCTTCCTCCTGAGGACCCCGTACCCCATTCCGGGTCCCATAGCCTCTTTCACTTTGCCCTACCTGAGGGCCCCTTCATAACCTCAGGGCCAGTGTAGGGTGTCAGGGAACAAAGTTTTTAACAGATCTCCCACATACACAGCCACAGAACAGCTGGTGCCCTCCTGGATGGAGGGCAGGGATTCCCAACTGTAGGTTTGGGCTGGCAGCTTTGCTGAGGGGTAACCCTAGGGGGAGTTCACCCCACTGGCATGTATCCCCAGGTAAAACTCACTGGCTAGGCCCCACAGGAAGCACACACATGTACCTGGAACACACCAGCCACTGCCCCCACCATGACGATGACACAGCCATGGACACACCCCTGTCCAGATACACAGTCACTTGACAGGAGCTTGTAGGGATCGACACTGCCATTCACACACCCAGATACCATATCAGCCCCAGAGGTGCCCACACCCACACGGGGGACGTGTCAGAGCTGGGGGTGGGGAGTCTGTGGCCTTGGGGCTACATGTGGCCTTCTGGATCCTTGAATGCGGCCTTTTGACAGAATGCAAATTTTACAAAACAAATCCTTTCAATAAAGAGATTTGTTCTGTGAAGTTTGGATTCAGTTGAGGGGCCGCACTTGGGAATCTGGAGGGCCATCTGTGGTCTTGAGGCTGTAGGTTCCTTAGCTGTCTGGACATGGCCACCCCTGGAGGTTCCAACCTGACTGGCTAGCCACCTTCCATGCTCCTGAGAAGGTTGTGCTGGGCCCCAGAAGGCAGGTCATCTCAAAATTTGGCCTCCTGCTCCCCAAGCAGGATTTCAGAGCTTCCACAGTGTAGCCAGGGTAGGTATGGAAAAGTACTTGGCAAGCTACAGTGTGCCAGGGCTCTCCATGAGTGATTATAGGGCCATGATTTGTTAGAACCTTCTAAGGGTCACCTGTAACCTACACTGTCAGGTCTGGCTCCTTTGCCTGCCTCTTGCCGCCAGCTCCTGCCCATCTCTTCCTGCCTTACAGGCAATACCTGACACTGTTTGCCCATGCTGTCATCTCTATGGAGTACCTTCCCCCAGCTCCTTCCTTTGGCCAAGCAGACTCTGACTCCCCAATGACACCCTACACTTTTATGACTTTGGGTTATAATTATTCTTAGTGCCACTTCCCCAGCCAGTCCTTGAGGGCCAGGCCCAATCTCAGTGTCCTGAGACCCAGCCAGGGACTATCCCCAGAACTGAGGCCTGGGGATATATTTTATAAGGAGTGAGGGAGAATCAGCAGTCTCTTCCTTGGTAAGTGGAGCCAGTCCCTGCCCTACTCCCAGGGAGGAAGCCCCAGGATCATCATGCTGCGTGGGCTTCCTCTAGGAGGAGGCTACTAAGATTTTACCTGGCTCAGTTCCCCCAACCCCAGCCATCCAAGAATGTGGTGTTGCCGAACCTCTCAGTATGTGGGCTAGTGGGACCCCTTGTTGGGGGTGGGGAAACTGAAGCCCACTGAGGAGCAAGCTTTGCACAGGTCATAGAGCCTAGTAGGGCTGGCTTGCCAGGGTGGGATCTGGAATGTGACTTAAGTACGCTGCCCTTCGGTGGGAGCTCATATTTATGGGAGGTAGACTTTAGTGCCTTTAGGGGCCACTGTCCACCCCAGACCCTCAGCTGAGAGAAGCAGAGGCCAGGATGGGGGAGTTTGTATGGGTAGGGTGTTGTTTCAGCCTCTAATTCCTGGCCACCGTGGACCTAGGCCCCTCTGAGAGACACTCCTATCCATGGGGACGTAGCATGTGACCTCAGGTATTCTACTGTATTCTTGAGGCCTCTCTGGAGGACCCCTTGCAGTCCCAACGAGGACTAGCGCCATTTAATCAGCCTACCGCAGCCAGGAGGACACAAATGTGAGACTGCTTGCGCTGGATCCTATCAGTGCTGACGACACTCTCAATGCCTGTGGGGAATGATCTGTGTTTTGGGCTGCTACAAAATAGATTAATTACTGTTTGATAAATGCAGGGCAATGAAGAAGAATCTTTAAAAAGAGGATCTGCACATCAGGGAACACTCAAGGGGGCTTTTGTGATGGCAAGTGTGGGATAGGATACTGGGCTGATTGAGCCTATGGCTGGGTAGAGGGGACACTGAGGCTCATAGTGAGATGGGCCAGCCCGAGGTCATGCAGCTAGTCTGGGGCATGGGGCTCTCTGGAAATGAGGGAAGGATGGGGCCTCCGCTCACTGCCCATCCACTTCCTTTAGACCTTGTCCTTTGCTGGCTGTGGAACGGATCGGGCAGCGGCCCCTGCGGGCCCAGTCCCTGGAACTGCCTGAGCCAGTCATGCAGCCCTTGCCTGCCGGGGCCTTCCTGGAGGAGGTAGCAGAGGAGACCCCAGCCCAGCCAGAGAGTGAGCCCAAGGTGCTGGACCCTGAGGAGGATCTGCTGTGCATAGCCAAGACTTTCTCCTACCTTCGGGAATCTGGTAAGTCTGAGGGGCGGGAGGCCTCATCCTAGGAAGTCTGGTGGGAGAAGCTTAGCTGTGCCTGTTGAGTCTATTTGGGGGCATGGCCCTGCCCGAGACAGTCCAGTGGAAGAGGCACAGCCCTCTCCAGGGAAGTGTGAAGGGGGAGGTGCAACTCTGACCTGCCCTGGGTTGGTGCCCCCAGCTAATTTCCACTGTAACCAGTCCCTTGGCCCCCTCTCTACTTGTCTAGGCTGGTATTGGGGGTCCATTACAGCCAGCGAGGCCCGGCAGCACCTGCAGAAGATGCCAGAGGGCACGTTCCTAGTACGAGACAGCACCCACCCCAGCTATCTGTTCACACTGTCGGTCAAAACCACTCGTGGCCCCACCAATGTGCGCATTGAGTATGCCGACTCCAGCTTCCGCCTCGACTCCAACTGCCTGTCTAGGCCTCGCATCCTGGCCTTCCCAGATGTGGTCAGCCTTGTGCAGCACTATGTGGCCTCCTGTGCTGCTGACACCCGAAGTGACAGCCCTGATCCCACTCCCACCCCGGCCCTGCCTATTGCTAAGGAAGAAGCACCTGGTGACCCAGCACTGCCTGCTCCTGTGGCTACCGCTGTGCACCTGAAACTGGTGCAGCCCTTTGTGCGCAGAAGCAGTGCCCGCAGCCTGCAGCACCTCTGCCGCCTTGTCATCAACCGTCTGGTGGCCGACGTGGACTGCCTACCACTGCCCCGGCGCATGGCCGACTATCTCCGACAGTACCCTTTCCAGCTCTGACTAGGCCGGGTACCTTACCCAGCCTCACCCAGCCACACCCTGGAGGGGACACTGGCCCCAGCTGGACTTGGGCTCCCGCTGTCCCTGCTCCAGTCATCCTGGTGCCTGCATGCATCTGGCAGCTGGACCAGGAAAAGCCACCAAGAGCGAGGCCGGGGGGAGGGGGAGGTATCACAAACTTGGAGGTGAGTGCCCTCAGGCCCCATGTGGCTCCATTGTGGTGAGCCATGTATCAGAGGAGAGGGAGACAAGCAGGACCTCGTCTCACCTGTGGCTGGGCCCAGGCCTCTACTCACTTCCCTGCCTTGGCCACTCGGACTGTGTAGATGCTATCAGCCCCAGTTTCTCAGTACCCGGGGTGGGGCAGGCCCCCTACCTCTAGCCAGCCTCTGTTTCTGAGAGGTTGGCAGCCAGAGGAACTGGGGTTGACAGTGACAGTCCCCTTGTTGGGGCATGGGCCAGGCTGGGGGACTGCACAGTAATACAATATTTATTTATTTATTCTCCTCAAGGTTGGTCTCAGGGTGAGCCAACCCCACCTCTCTGCCCTGAGCCCTGGGTAGTCTAGAGATCCCACTGCCCCAGTTTCTCTGGTTCTTCCCTGCAGGCAGCCCCATCCTGAGACATGTTACCGGACCCAAGACAGTCCTGGATTCCTGGCACTGACTCATCCACCTGTGAATGTGTCCACTCTCTTCTGCCCCTAGCCCAGTTTGGGGAGGATGGGAAATGGACAAGAAAGTGGAGCCAGAGCCTCAGTCTCCAGCACAGCCTGTGGCTCACCCCTCGCTGGCCAGAGCCAGAAGCGCACAGAGCTGTGTGCGCTGAGTTAGGAAGGGGTGCTGGCTTGAGGGCTGCTGCTGTAGCTCTGCTGGTTCGGCTTCCTGCCCAGGAAGTTGCTTGCACGTGACAAAGGGAGAGAAATATATATCTGATAAGTCTTTATAAAATAATGATTATAACAAAGAAACCAGTTTGGTAGTCTTTTCTTCTACTGATTTTTCTGTAATGACAATAAAATCATACCTTTCACTTATGGAGCCCTCAGTGAGGCCTCTTTTGCGTTCTGTACACAGTTTCTCCCCTTTGATCTTGTCATCATCCCTCTTTACATCTGGGCTAGCCAAGAATCAGAGCCCTTGGGGACTGAGCGGTCCCTGGGGAGGGCTTATTTCCCCTGGTTTCCCTTGGGAATGGGATAGGGGGTGAAGGCCACTTGGACTGCCTGCAGGGTCACTGTCCTGGCCACTGCCAGGCAGGGGTGGTAGCAGAGGAGCATTAGCCCTGAGAGGTGTGTAAACAGGAAGTGCCAATTCAACATTGAAAGTGGAGAATACAGGGAGCAGGTGCTGTGGACTGCTCCCTGGGGCTGTGTCTTTTGAGATGAGGATGCCAATTGTCAGGGCAGTCCTTCCAGGAAGAAGGTACAGTGAGTGCAGAGCGCTGAGGCATGACTGGGAGACTCACTTCTGAAAAGGGGGCCTGGGAAGGGCTCGTTCTGTGCAGTGAGCAGGGCAATTGAATCAGGGATAGTAGCCAGTAAGCTGGCAGGGTCTGGCCTGGAATGGGCGTGTCTGGATTCTGGCCTCGGCTGGTTGGGGTTAGGGGACCCTGTCTTCTCACTCAGGGTCCTGTGCACCAGAAGTGGGTAGAAGAGCAATTAAAATGAAAACAACCTCCATTATTTGATAGTCTAACTTTGGAACACATTAGCTGCTGAGATCTCACTATGTCCTGAAAATTTTTGTACTTTTGCTTAAAGGCCTCACAGGAAAGCACCTCTAAACCTTGCTCATAGCCTCCTAACCCTTACTTTGGAAACAATTCTAACCTCCTTGTTTTCTTAGTCCTTAGACAATTAGAAATTGCAGATTAGAAGAGACAAATGCTGGCCAGGCACAGTGGCTCATGCCTGTAATCCTAGCACTCTGGGAGGCTGAGGTGGGGGGATCGCTTGAGGTCAGGAGCTCAAGACCAGTCTAAGCAAGAGCAAGACCTTGTCTCTATTAAAAATAGAAAAATTGGCCAGGTGTGGTGGTGCACACCTGTAGTCCCAGCTACTCAGGAGGCTGAGGCAGGAGGATCGCTTGAGCCCAGGAGTTTGAGGTTGCTGTGAACTATGATGATGCCACTGCACTCTAGCCTGGGTGACAGAGTGAGACTGTCTCAAAAAAATAAAAAATGATTGAGAGCAGGAAGGCATGAGGAGTGATGGGTTGATGACAAGGAAGAGGCAGAGAAAGGATAAATAGGAAGAACTCTGGGGAAATGGAGACGGCTGTGGCAAAGAGTGGGAGTGACATTGGGTGACAGTGAGCAAGAGCTGGGTGAGGGAGGTGGATCCTTAGGAGATGTGGTGCCCAAGTGTCCAGGCTGGCACCTTCTCCATTGCTGGCGATAGCTTGGGCCCTTGGCTGGCTGTGGGGCCAGACAGTGTATTTCCTCCAGGTCACCATGGCCCTGCCAGGGTGTCTGCAATTCCTCATTCCTTCAGCCTTGATCTTAGCCCATTTGTCACTCCCAAAATGCCTGAGGTGACCCCTTTGTTTGCTCTCCTGTAGATCTGAGTCACCTGGTGGGTGGGTAGTAGACATGGAGGGGCCAGAGGCAGGCTGCTCTCCAACAAGAGGAAGCACAGAAAACTCTTCATTGTCCACAAAGTGGGAGATGTCTCAAGGTGCCCGCTGAGTGCTAGGCGTGGGCCGAGGGCTTTGCACTGACCACACCCTGAAAGTGGGGTCCAAATTTGCCCACCGATGGGGAAACTGAGGCTCAAGGAGGGCAGGGGCTGACAGAGGCCTCTCAACGAGTGGGGCACAGAGCAGAGCTAACCCTGGGGGTCCTGACTGCCATTTGCCCCGTGGATTGCTACATGAGATGGGAAGGTCAAGCAGCTGGATGTCGGCTTCCAGGCAAGTTACTCTTGGATGCTGGCTTCTAACCCCCTGTCTCCCTTCCCGCTGAGAGCTCTGGAGCCCTTGGCCTGGCCATCAGGGTCCTGTCCCCTTCACCCTTGTCTCAGCTCAAGCCAGGGTCCAGCTCTGGCCTGGGGAGAGGCTGCCCAGATATTTTTCTGGTTCAATATCTCTTCTGACTTTCAATATTTTCCTGGTTCAATTTTCTTTTCATGTTTCCCTACCAGGGGAGTAAGTGATGCCTGCCCGCAATAGGGACAGCAGAAGGCATGTCGCTGGGCCCCAGACGCAAGACAGAGATCCAGCCTAACATGCTGAAAATCCTCTGGCCAACACAGTCACCCCGGGGTGGTCCTGGGCTAGCAAAAGGGGCGCGCCTTGCTGATGCGAGCCAGGGAGAAAGGGACGAGCCATCTGGTGGGTACGCGGGAGCCTGCACAACATACAAACAATAACTGAAGTGACCCTTTACCGATGAAGGCCTTCACCAGCACGCATGCTCCTCGGGCACCAACTGGGCCAGACTCCATCTAGGCCCTGGGGACACAGTAGGGAACAAAGCAGACACAGTCCCCATCTTCATGGGGCTCATGGGCTAGTGGGAGAGAGATAGTAAACAAGTGAACAGAGGGGCACAAGGGAAAGATTTGAGAGTGCAAAAAAAGCAAAGCAGGAGAGTGCAGAGGATACTTTGGGCGTGGGGACACCCTGCAGCTGACAGAGCCAGGGAAAGCTCAGGGGCAGGTGGCGCTGAGTCTGGAGACCCAAGCAAAGAGCAAGAGCTGACCACGCAGACGACCTGGAAAAGGGATGTCCCAGGTGAAAGGAGCCACCAGTGCCATGGCCCTGAGGCAGGAACAAACCTGGAGAGGCTGCCCGGCGGGGGGTGGGAAGGGCAGAGGGGCACGTGGATTTTATTCTAGTGTGGTGGGGTACCCTTTCAGAGTTTAGCAGGGGAGTGCCGGGATGTGATGCGTGTTTCTAAGGGACGCAACTGTAAGCTGGGTGGGGATGGCCATGAGGGCCTGGAGACAGGAGGCAAGAAAGAAGGCGGAGAGGTAGGGACCTGGGGTGGAGTGTGGGGAAGGGCAGGAGGAGGCGAGGGCAGCAACTTTGTGACCCTGGGTGGGGTTCATGCCCCATGAGTTCTCACTGCTGCCCTACATACCGGCAGAGGTTGTCCCCATGGATAGTGAAGAGGTAAGTTTCAAAGAAGGGTAGTGGCTTGCTTAGGGTCACACCGCTCATGAGAGTCAGAGCCAGGGTTCAGACCTGGTTTGTGTAACCACTGCTCTGCTCTGCCTCCAGGGCTGGCTTGCCTAAGCCTCAGCACCCATAGATTCAGAGGACATGCAGAAGGGTGGGGAGATTCAGGAGAGCTTTCTGGAGGACAAGCCTAAGGGCTGGGCCCTGGAGGATTCCACCTCCAGGTGGGAGGCTGGTTTGGAGATTGATCCTGTGTAATTTCCCTCCCTGGACTCACAAGTCTCCCTCTGGAATGACTTTGGGACAGAGATGCTGCTAAGCTACCAGGTATTTCTTGTCAGTAAGGTTTAACTGCCCAGCATCTTGCTAGTGTGCTTCACTCATGATCACCGAGTGACCCACCGCCCCTGGATCAGAACTGTGCCCCTGGGGAGAATTTGCTGGATACTACTACCCCACCAGGCATATTACTGGTGCCAGCGCATGCATCTCACTAGCCCCTGCACCTAGGCTGAGCTTGTAATCTGCCAGCTGAGCAAATTATTCCTGGCCAAGGCTGGCTGGACATATGTCTGAGTGGGGCTGGGGGCCATGGCTGGGCCAGCTCCATTCAGATGGGACCACTCCCACACTGCTGCCCATGGGAAGTGGAGGGGTGAGGGGCCTGGAGTCTGAGATAAGGCCTGACCAAGAAGGCAGGAAGATTCGGGATCTGTGCATGGTGCATCCTGGCCCTCCGGGGACTTCGCACGGGCCCTCTTCCTCCAGGAGAAGTGGAGCCGGTACAGGCCTGGGCAGCCCTTTGACACCAACCTGTTAGACAAGTTTTAATATAAAGCAGGTTCGAGGTTTGCTCTCATAGTGAATGTGTCCTCCCTACCCCTTCCTGGCCCAAATGCCACCCAGAGGGTCACTCCAAGGGTCACTCTGGGACAGCAGGCTGTAGCTCCCATGTCTGAGACTCAAGATAGAGGAGGTCTCTGGAGGTTTCATTCTGGCCAGAATGCAGACTACAGGATGGTTGGAGAGTGGCCAGGCCTGGCTTTTAGGGCATGCCAAGTGAGTAGAAGCTGACGCTCATCTTTGAGCAGGAGGAGATGCAGCAGGCCCAGGACAGAAGGAGCCTTTATTGTGGCCTAAGCTCTCTGTTCAGCGGGAAGATAGTTACTTCCGCGACCCTGGCCCACTGAAGCAGGCAGGGCTGAGTGCAGGAGGTGGCCTCAGAGGGCTGAGGAACTCTGGACTGCCACAGCTCTCCCAGGCAATCCTCCAGGACTGTTCCACCCACACCATTCCTACTAGTGAGATACGGACGCTGGCACCCAGATGCCCTGATGGTGTGGCTGGGGGAGGAGTGGTAGCCAGCAAATGCTTCCCGGGCAGAGCCTGGCTCTAGGGACTCTCCCCATACCCAGCACCAGTGAGCCAGGCTAGGCCCTTCCTGTCACCAGGACTGGGCTACTCCACCAGGGGCGAGGATTGCACTCCTCGTCTGGGTTGGGCCAAAGTTTTGTTCTTAAAAGTGCCCCTCAGCCTCCTCCCAGGAGATACTCCACTTCTCCCCACCCCCACCAGCCCCACATCTGAGCGACAGCACTCTGTGCGTGTGTGTGTGTGTGTGTATGTGTGTGTGTGTGTGTGTGTGTGTGTGTGTGTTGACCTTTCCACTTGGCCAACATTCCTTTGTTTTTCTCAGCTCCTTCAAGTGGATGGCCGTGGGAGGAGGAGCTGCTGGGAGAGTGGTTTCTTAGGAAACTTTTTCCCCAAAGCCCAGAGACATGGATCCCAAGGAGACACGAGAAAATGTAGGCTTATCAGAAGGAGATGGGCTCCAAGGGCGGTTTGAGGGGTATGGGTGAGAGACGAGGACGGGC